GTTGTCTGTCCTGCTGCTACTGCTGCTGCTGGTGTTGTCTGTCCTGCTGATACTACTGCTGCTGCTGCTGCTACTGCTGCTGCTGCTACTGCTGCTACTGCTGCTGCTACTACTGCTGCTGCTGCTGCTACTGCTGCTGCTGCTGGTGTTGTCTGTCCTGCTGCTGCTACTGCTGCTGCTGGTGTTGTCTGTCCTGCTGCTGCTGTTTCTCCTGCATGTCCTGATGGGGGTGCGACTGCTGCTACTGCTGCTCCTGGTGTCCTGCTACTGCTGCTGCTGTTTCTCCTGCATGTCCTGCTGCTGCTGTTGCTGCTGCCATCTCTGCTGTCGCTGTGCGTGCTGCTGCTGCTGCTGGTGCCAGGCTGTCTGCCGCGTGGGAGCACCGCATCAGCGTGGCCAAGCTGCGCGAGATGCTCGTGACGGTGGACGGGCGCGTGGTGCTCAAGGTGCTCAAGCTGGACTGGGAGGTGAGCCCCCACCTCGGCGTGGCCCCCCACCCCACCCCCCCCCCCCCCACGTGTCTCTCACCACGTGTCTCTCATCACGTGTGTCTCATCACGTGTCCCACGTGCCGTCACGTGTGTCTCACCACGCGTGTCTCATCACGTGTCTCACCACGTGTGTCTCACCACGTGTCTCTCATCACGTGTGTCTCATCACGTGTGTCTCACCACGCGTCTCTCACCACGTGTGTCTCATCACGTGTGTCTCATCACGTGTGTCTCATCACGTGTGTCTCTCACCACGTGTCTCTCATCACGTGTGTCTCACCACGTGTGTCATACCACGTGTCTTACTACGTGTCTCTCACCACGCGTGTCTCACCACGTGTCCCACGTGCTGTCACGTGCCCCCCCCCCCACATCTCTCCCCCCTCCCCCCCCCGTGTAGAAGCTTCCAGCCGCCCTGGAGCAGCTGCCCGCCATGCACGAGTGGCAGATCCACCGCACGCAGCTCCACTCGCTCCCGCCCAACCTGGGCGCCTTCGGCAGCCTCCTCACCCTCGACCTCTCCCGCAACCGCATCCGCTGCCTCCCGCCGCAGATCGGTCAGAGACGATGTTGTTAATTTAATTGTTGTTTATGTTGTTTGTTGATGTTGTTTTTTTTATGTTGATTTAATTGTTTTGGTTCTTTCGGTAAAGTCACGTAGAAGGGAAATAATAAAATAATAAAAATAAAACATAATAAAATACAATTCTCACGACGTTTCGGCCACAACGCAAGCAGCCGTCCTCAGGTGAAGAACAGGTCTGTCGGAAAGACAGCGTCTGAATGAACCATTGTCTTTCCGACAGACCTGTTCTTCACCTGAGGACGGCTGCTTGCGTTGTGGCCGAAACGTCGTGAGAATTGTATTTCATAATGTTTGATTTTTATTATTTTATTATTTCCCTTCTACGTCACTTTACCGAAAGAACCAAGAAGATGAATCCCTGCAGTCACGAAAGCTTTAAATCGAAAAGTTGCTTTCATTGTTGTTGATGTTGTTTATGTTGTTGTTGATGTTGTTTATTTAATTGTTGTTGATGTTGTTTATGTTGATGTTGTTTTTGTTGATGTTGTTGATTTCATTGTTGTTGATGTTGTTGACGTTTTGTGTTGATGTTGATTTCATTGCTGTTGTTTATGTTATTGTTGTTCATGTTGTTTGTTGATGTTGTTTTTGTTGATGGTGTTGATTTATTTGTTGTTTATGTTGTTTATGTTGATGTTGTTTATATTGTTGTTGATGTTGTTGTTTTTGTTGATTTCATTGTTGCTGATGTTGTTGTTGACGTTTTTTGTTGATGTTGATTTCATTGCTGTTGTTAATGTTGATGTTGTTGATGTTGTTTTTGTTGATGTTGTTTTTGTTGATGTTGTTGATTTAATTGTTGTTTATGTTGATGTTTATGTTGTTTGCTGATGTTGTTTTTATTGTTGTTGAGTTCGTCGTTGTTGTTCTTGTTGTTGTTGCTAGGCCAGCTGTCCCGCCTGCGCGAGCTGTCTCTGAGCTACAACGCGCTGGAGTCCGTCCCGCCGGAGCTGTCGCAGTGCTGTTTATATTGTTGTTGATGTTGTTGTTGTTGTCGTTGTTGTTGTTGTTGCTAGGCCAGCTGTCCCGCCTACGCGAGCTGTCTCTGAGCTACAACGCGCTGGAGTCCGTCCCGCCGGAGCTGTCGCAGTGCTGTTTATATTGTTGTTGATGTTGTTGTTGATGTTGTTGTTGATGTTGTTGTTGTTGTTGCTAGGCCAGCTGTCCCGCCTGCGCGAGCTGTCTCTGAGCTACAACGCGCTGGAGTCCGTCCCGCCGGAGCTGTCGCAGTGCCGCGACCTCCAGCGGCTCGAGCTGTCGGCCAACCAGGGCCTCCACGAGCTGCCGGACGAGGTGACGCCATCGTCGTCGTCATCATCTCCAACGTCATCATCATGGTCACCAACGTGATCGTCGTCATCATCATCTCCAACGTCATCATCATGGTCACCAACATCATCTTCGTCATCATCATCATCTCCAA